TTATGGCTTATTAGCAGGGGTACGGAATTGTGCATAGCAACACCCTTGGTTACCAAGCCTTACGTTTTAGCACCCCTCAGAATATTTTCTAGATCCGCCCCTGTGTACTATATCAGTGGCTACATTGCCAAAAAATGGTTGCCACCATGAAATGTCCTGAATGTGCAGTTGCATTGTATCAGCCAAGTGCACTGAGGGGTCAAGTCTTCAAGATCAAGTCCACTCTTCTGTCATTCAAAGCATATGGCAATTTATTTGTTCCTTCGCTATCCACTTTTGAAGTGGTGAAAGTGACCGACAAATTGGCAAGGGAACTATTACTTCTCTGGCAAGATGTATTAAAGAGTAGTGTAGAAAAGTTTGTGGTCAGCGTTCTACAAATCGTGAAAAATCGGGTATTTGTGTCCTTAGAAGATCATTCAATGCAATCCCATTTACTTGGAGAGATGAAAGAGGACCACGTCACTACATTCGTCAAACACATCTCGAGATATTATCTCAAAATTTTCATCTGCTAGTTTGGAAAAGTGCACACTGAACGCATTTTTAAGGCCAACAGAGTTTCCAAAAGACAGAAACTATTTAAAATGTCCTATTTTATCATGATTAGCCTAAATATTTGATAACTAAGCGTTAAAAGCTAAATTTAGTTTTATGACATACTTTAAACAACAAACCTTGATCCAAACCTCTAGTGCAATCATTGTAATACGCTTACCGGGGCTTGCCAACGACACGTCGTTACGTCACTGTTGACCACTTATAGCTACTTTTTCCAATAATGTGATTATTATTTGCCCTTCTCATATCCCTTACTTGTTTTTCCGGTCAGATCCTGCCGGCAAACCTTGTCAAATTTTCACTTTTGTGTTAAAAACCTGACCAAAAACAACAATAATTGCCTCTGTGCTCTTTTGCCACGTCTAGCGTTCTTAACTCTATGACGTGCACAAAGACACTACTGTACTACAGAAAAATTCTCCAGACGTTTCTAAACTGGATTCTTATGTGCACGATTCGCTTATGCATCGATTTGAACAGTTTGTGCCCATACCTCCACAAAGCATGTGGCTTACATTTACGCACTCATTTTTTTCGATAAAAAGGAGTAGACTGTAATAGGAAAATTCACATTTTCAGTATTAGCCTCGTTATCGTATCTATGATGCACTTAAAGGCATTGAGTCGGTAGGCGAAAAATTCAACCGCTCAGAAGGACCTCATTAATTATTCATGAAAATCACCAACAAACTCGTTTTTCCGAACTCCGAATAACGACGGTATATTGATACCGAGGAAACAATTCTTCGGTTCTCGTTCGTAGGAAACTTCGGTTTTATCGAAAGGGCGGGAAGTGGAAAATTTGGCGGGAAATTTGACATGTTGAGGTAAAAGATGGACACCGAAGACCTCGAACCCAGCGCTGTTAATCACGCTAAATGTAAATGGGCGAAGTATTTTGAAAATAAAAATTGCATTTACTCTGGAAAGGTGTCAAACTTGAACGCTGTTAATGAGCTTATTCATGAGTATAGCCTGGAGACAATTACTACATTTGTTGTTTGGAGAACAAAGAGAAAAAACTTCGGTTCAACTGGTAAGAAATTTTACTTTTTATGGAATTTTTAAATTGAAATAACGTATAAAGAAGTTAGCATGGATATACTCAACTCAAAATATTTACAATACTTCTCTAAAAACACCTCCCGCATATTAACTAAAAGAATTTTTTTCAAAACCCTGCTCTTATTATGACCCCCCTCCCCAAGCTTATTAAATTTTTGATCAGAAAAGTTATTGACCGGAAAAAAGTTATGTTATCATAAATCCTTTATCCTGTCATCATTTATGAATCCACTGTCTAACAATAGGGGACAATGCAGAAACTAAAGAATCATAACTCTTCTTAAAAATACACTCACTTTTTTTTATAAGAAACAGGTTTTAAGAAGCGGTAGGCTAAATTTTTCGAAAGTTGATAAACAACCCTGTCCAAATTGAAAAAAGCTGCACTTGCACTTGACACTGCACTGCAACACTGCACTTGACATCCAGTTTGCATTCATTCTCAGTAAATTGCACACTCAGGAAGTTTCCTTTTAAAATTATTTTGACTTCAAATTGACATTGATGAAGTTCAATGAGCTTAACTGTTTAGAGATCTCAACAGAGTGAATCATTCTAGGAAAAAAAATTCCTTGATCATAAATTTCCTTTTTTTCTACAGAAAGTCAAAAGGATGATAGGCATAAAATATTATGGAATGGGAATGTGCCATATATTTTACTTAATACCAAGGTCAGCATGGAGAAACACAGCATAAAAACAAAAATCAAAGAGAAGAGGTAAAAAGTATTTTATTTATTTACCATATGAAATCCTGGAAATATATCTCCTTCAGATGAATTGCCTCAAATAAGAAGCTTTCAAGATATTTTGAAATATGATCCTACACTCTAAAGTATCATTGTAAGTTCCACTAGTTTCTGGTTAAAAGTTTTAAATTAGAAGAGTAGGCATAAGGCCCAATATGATATAAAATATTTCTGCCATTTTTGGATTGTATAACTTTTTGGTATAAAGTGTGACGAAATTCTTTGTTGGATATGTTATAATAATTCTGGCATCAAATACTAGAAAATTTTGAAAAACATGATGTAAAAAAAAATTCTGGAGAGGTATGGGAGTCAAATTGCTGCCAAATACCATGAATTTTGCTTTAACATGCACTCATGCATTTCTGAAATGATCACATGACTGATCCAAAAGCTGATTGCAATGCTATATGTTCAGGATAAAAAAAATTAATTTTTGGGTATTATAGATCACAAATTGCTTTTTGGGCATATGTAAGAAATTATTTTTTGGGTTGATGTGTTCTACCTAAGCCAGAGCACCCCTACCCAATCAAAGTACCTAATCATTTGTCATTTTGGACAAGCTTACTGTCATATATTTACGTGGATATAAAAATTTCGAGGGTTAATTTTCCAAAAAGGAAGATTATCAACAACTTTAAGCTTATACAAGGATTGTTATTCTTACAGGTAGACTTACCTAAAGCGATAAGTGCAATCTTGTTTTAGGTCTAGGCCTAGTTATCTGCCTACCTGTCCGCCATTACAACTTCTCGGTTCCGTTCGGTCAGGAACTCAGGAAGCAATCGTGAAGAACGAGGCGGAAAATTTTCAAATTTTCAAAATCAGGAATTTTCAAGGGATGATCGTACAACCAGTGTTCTGTTAGGGGGTTCATAAACTGTGATAACCATCAGGGACGTTGTGGCCGCTAGAAAAGGGCCGGGAGAAAAGATCATTAGGGGGCCCCCTCCTTTGTTTGACATCTCCAATAACAAACTACAGGTCGCCAAAAATGGTACCTACCTGGAAACTATGCACCCAGTGGCGGTTTTAGGGACTGTGCTGCCGGGACCAAAAATATCTGCGGGGCCCTTTTTCTTTGTAATTTCTATCATTTTTCTTATGTGGGGGTGCGGGGCCCCTTTTGGCTATCATAAGCGAGCGGCCTGGGGCCATTGCCCCCTGGACCCGACTTAAAACCGCCACTGCATGCACCAAAAATATAAAGATTCCAGTTTTTATCATTTTTAAATGTTCATTTACTATATTTGTTGGGGTTTTTCTCCTTTTCTCTAACCATAGTTTCTTTAAGATTGCAAAAAATGTGAAAAAAAATCCAATGCTGTAGTGCACAGTTGATAAAAAACAAACGCAAAAGAGCACTTACAGGCACTGCGAGCATTGCGAGCAGAAACATGATTCAGCATGTTTTTACAGACACTTTTTACGACAGACACGTTTTACGATTTTTAGGCATACTTTGTTGCGTTTTGTTAAAATTCAGTTCTTAAATTGGAATCCCTACAGGCACCACGCAGCTATTGGGCTAGCAGGGGCTATAACCCCCCCCCCCTTTTTTTTTGCAATAATAGGCTAGAACATTTTTTGGAAGGTCTACTCTAACGAAACTTTGGATAGTTCACTCCTATCTCCTATGTAGTAGCAGTTCAGTGGCGTAACGGAGCAGTGTGGGGCCCTAAGTGGAGTGTTTTGGGGCCCCTATACTTAGCTAAATTTGAGTCAAGTTTTAGAGCCTCACTGTTAGGGCTTTTCCTGAAGCGTTTATTATAATAACTAGCAGTAAACTTTGCAGAGACACATCTTCACAAAAATGACCATGATCAGTTGGATAAGACTTTAAAAGATCAAGCTGGCATGATTTTACTTGAGTTTTAGCTTGATTCGCAACCTCTGTTGTTCTTTCCCGGAGTTTCAGAAGATTCATCAAAGGCAGGGCTCGTGACCTTGTCTTCGGCCTTGGTGTTTGTTACCCTCAAGCTAATTTTATTTTTTAATGGTTACGATTATCATCTCTGAACCAGACTGTTTATACAAATTGCGTAGAAATAAGCAAGTATTTTCTAAAAGAGGCGTTTCCGGCGTTCTAGGGGGCGTGGCCTCAAAACATTTTCGGGCACACCGACTGCAGCCCATCCACTTTTAAACTGGTGCGCGTTCCCTGCCCTAGAATTCGAGGCCCTGGGGTAGTTTGCCCCTACTAGTCCCCCTCTCGGCAGCCCTGTTCATATTCCACGCACCTCTTTCACAGGCCTGTTTGTATATGTTGATCTCCTCTATTTCTGAACTGTGAACTTGAGTCTACATGTAAGTGAGGCGTTTTCTCACCAAGGGGTTTTACAAACTAACTTGAAAGAAGCCCACCGGGAAATTTCCCGGTGTCCTGCCTGGCCACAACGCCCCTGATAACTATTATCAAAGGCAGTATGTCCCCCATTGTTCTCAGAACCTCTTTTCATGGCCACGATATTCATGCATCGTTGATTCAATGCACAAAAATAGCGTAACTTCCCTGAGCATCATGAAGGGGACAGACTGCCTTTAATGAAGTGCATTGTCGCGTGCCTTTTAACCAACCAATCAAAGGACACTTTACAGTCCAGCGGTTTACATTTTGACTGAGACAATCTATTGGTAGGTGGAGAACAGAAGAAAGACGTATAGAGATGCAAAATGCTGAATAATGGTCAGGCACTTTTTCCAAAATTCAAGTTTGCAGGCAAAAGAATCGAGAAGAATTGATCCTGCCCAGCAGGTAAGTGAATATTCTTCTTTGATACTGTTGTAACGGTTTGGCTTTCGTATTTAACCAATTTAGTAATGTTCCCGTTGCGTGTTAAAGTCGCATGTTCTGTTAAGTCCTGTTGTGTTTACATAAATTGTACGGGCGCAGTGAGACTTGGTTTGTCAAGGTTGAATATCTACCTATGGCATAACGCTTTATGAACCTATCTTAGTTCATCAACATCATCAACTGATTCATAACATCAACAAATATTACTTTTCGCAACCTCCTGTCATTTTGGCCAAAGATGTTACTTTTGCAAAAAATTGTAAAATCTTTAGGGCAAAGGAAATAGTGGATTGAAGACAAATTGTGCTATAACCGAATATATGTTATAATCTATTCCCTCCAGACAAAACTGGCAATCCTTATTTCGTGTCACTGGAAGTCTTTATCGAGGGGCAAATCATTCCAAGAAAATCTCGTACACCTTTTGTGAAAATCCTATTGTTTTATCTAAAAATCTCCAGAAATCCTTTTGTTTTAGGGAAAATCTCGTACGCTTTTTGCAAGAGTGAATTGCTCCTCGGTCTTTATCGTCTTACCTAAGAACAGAATTTCCAAGCATAACTACCTTATCGGTACAGTGATCTAAGAAAAACATTAAAGCCGATCAATTGGGAGAAAATACTTGCCCTGCCTAAATCGCATTTGTTTTAGTTTTTCTTCTTCTTCATAGTTTTAACTTTCTCATTTAGCTCTGAATCATCACTTGAGGTATGATAGCTTACAAAACAACTTCCTTTCACCATTTCTTAAAGCAACTACAAGTCACTAGTTTCGTTTGCACACAGGGGCGTAACTTGGCCAGTAGGTTTGGGAGGGGGGGGGGGTTGAAAAGGGCTTCTGCCCTGCAAAACTGAGTGATGCCCTGCAGACCTCAAAGCAAAGGTTTGTCTATAGGTTACTAGTGAAAGCTTTACCAATGAACATTTGTCGTTACCAAGGATAAACCTCTAAGCAATAAAAACAAACTTGAAGCTTCATTGCCTGTGAAATATCTATTTCTATCCGTGAGCGTAAATTAAATGTCAAATTTGATTTTCCTTTGTAATAAAGCTTGTATTTCATTGCATATGATTCTTGGTACATTATTTAGACGGCGCGACGAAATTTAGCCCGGGGTAGGGGCTAAGAATCAGGTTTAGTGAGGTAGAAGGACCCACCATGATTGGGTCCGACGTGAAGAAAATTTTTGAAATTATACCTTGCCAAAGGGCTGAAAAGAATCACCCAGACTAAAATTTAGCAAAATACTATACTGCTAAAAAACTGATTATTGTTTTTTGGTAAAAATAGGGAGGGGCATGTCATGCTAAAACTCTAGTGATAGACGTTGGGGAAGGAAAGAAACGGTACCCTTTCGTTTCAGATTGCACATGTTGTGAATCACAAAGGAAAATGTTGTTTTGATTGGAAGAATTTTATTTCCTAAACAGAAATGTGCAGTTTCTTGTCTCGAGAAAGCCATGTTTACACATCCAAAATGAATACATTGCAATGATACAGAAATATCGCTATCTGCTACTTCGGTTTTTTTCTCAGCGATTTGAAAACAGCAAAACTTGTTGAAAGATTAGTATTTGTAATTTTTATTTCGGAAAACTTTGCTTATTCACATTTCGTTCCAATTGTCTTGGATTATATTGAAGCTTACCTAAAAAAGACTTTGCGAACTATTCAAAGCTCAACTGGCAAAAAGCAAACAACTTCTCATAAAGTATTTAACACATCACGTTATATCATAAAATATATTTAATAGGTACTTAGGTAGTTGATTTCTTTGTTTCGTAGACTGGAAATATACTCTATCTAACTAAGCACGTCAGATTTCGTCAGACAACAAAGTTTCAGTTGTACAGCTTGCGTAGTCACAAAGTTTTAGTGCGATAGCCAACACTGGACTAGGTATAAGTACGTCGGTCCAAGCAAAGCCTTTTTGTGAGGTTTTAAACCTAGCTCTACGTTTCCTTTTATCTAGCACTTCGGATTACGTCAGGAAACAAAGTTTCAGTCATATAACTTGTATAGCTATTAAGTTATGGTGCAAGACCCAATATAGGACTGGGTACAAGTACAGTAGTCTAAAAATTGCTTTTGTGGAATTTTTAAAGCTATTTTCGTGTCTCATTTTATTCAGCACGTTTAATAACGACAGAAAAAATGTTTCAGTTTTATAGCATGCAAAGTTAAACGTTGTAGTGCAATACCTAAAAGAGGACTGGGTACCAGTACCCTAGTCTAAAAATAGCTTTCGGGGGCATTTTTGAAGCCTGATATGTATTTCATCTTACGCAGTATTGTTGTGCACCAGATCGAACGAACCATTGTAGGTTATAATTTAAATATTTGGCAAACACTTTATTTCCGCTGTTAATTATCTATGTTTCTTTTGGTTGTAGGTCTTACGTGTTTTTAGCTGATTGGTTGTTATTAATACTTGTAAAATGCTTGTATATATAAATACGCTGTAGTAGTTTTAAGAATTAGGCTTTTTGGGAGAAGCATCTTGCTGTTCGTTCTAAGTGCTGACGAAAGAAGTCGTTGTCTCTCTGCTCCTTTCTGCCACAAGTCGAGTTGAAAAGGGCCGTGAGTTATTTTATATATACTTGGTTGCACAGTAGTTAAAGTGTAGTATAACATATTGGTGACCACGACGTGACCGGTCGAGAATACTTATTGGCGTGCTGAAAAAAAACCGATAAACTTGCGTTTTACATTTTGGTGTCGAATATAGGTTTTATTGCATTTTTCATTGGCCGTTTTGACGTATTCACTGGAATTGTTCGGGGTTGATGTACTGGGTATGGTTTTTATTTCTTGTTTCTTTGGAAATTTTGACTGTTTCGCCGCATTGGTTATCTTGTATCGTTTTTATTATTACGTCGGATTTCCGTTAAAAGTGAAGATTGAACTGAACTTTCGAGAAGCAATTTCAGAATGCTGATATACTTATATGATATTGTCTAAAGATTGTTCAAGACAGACTTTAATTCCGCTCGTTTTCTTCTTGATAACTCGAAAACAAAATCCGTGGTTGCACTCATTTCGGCAAAACTTTGGAAATATTGTGAAATTGTTTAGTTATTCACGTAGTTAAAATGGAAGCAACGGTAGAAGAATTACAAAACCGTGTGTCTGCTATGCAGGCAGCCCTGGAGGGAAACGCCCAGTCGGGACTTTTTAAACAACCGCCTTTCAGTGGATTCCAAAATGAAGACGTAAATGAATGGGTTGTAAAATTTAATCGACTTGCCAGGTTCTATGGTTGGGGCAATGCAAAAAAATTAAGTGCACTTCCATTGCTGCTTAATGGCCCAGCTTTGGCACGGTTTCAGACGCTCTCAGACGAAACTGCAGGAACTTTCGATAGCTTAATTGAAGCTTTAATTGCAAGATTTGGCAACCAAAACATCCAGTTTTTGATACGGCAAGAACTTTATGCCCGAAAACAGCTCGAACATGAGCCTCTAGTAACCTACACTGAAGACATCATAAAAAAGTGTCAACGACTGAATCTAAATGAGTTAGAAATGATGAACATTTTCATAAACGGCCTAAGCGCAGAACTAAAGAACCATGTTGTTTTAAACCAGCCAAAAACTTTCACAGAGGCAGAAAACCTTGCCCGCCTCCGTGACGCTGTTTCAAAGTCTTTCGGCCCAACCGTCCCGCAAACCATTTCGCAAGACCAGCGTATTAAAGAACTTGAGGGCCAAGTTAATATATTGCTTGCGTTGGCTAGCAACAAGAGAACCGGCCAGTTAAACGCTTTAGATCAAATTGATTATGGTAACAACTTAGGTGGTGGTACATATGGTAATCATGTTGCAAATCAAAGCTCTTTTCAAAGTGACCTCCTGAATCTTAAAACAGAGCTAATTGCTGCAATTGATCAACGTTTTGTGTCTGGCAAACCTCAACCCATGAACAGGCTTCAACAAGGTGTAAGGGTAAGCTATGCAAGGGGGCGTAATTTACGTACCACCGATGGGCAACCTATTTGCAACAACTGCTATCGTGTGGGTCATGTGGCTCGATATTGTAGAAGTAATAATAGTGGTGTTTCTGGTAGAGAAAATGCAGTTCAAAATAATTATCGCTTTCGGTCAACTCAAAACTTTCAGCAGGACAGATCCGGTACAAATTATTTAAACGAACAAGGGCCTTCTCGTTGGGGGAATTGAAGGAGGCCCAAACGGTTGGAAAGCAAATGAAGCCCCCGTTTTGTGAAAAAGCTGATTCGTCTTTCGAACAATGGGTTAATAAACGAAATTGTTTGACTAGTGCCAAGTTTCAATTAGAAAAACCTTTAAATGACATTGATATCGAGCCAAGAAAGGGAACCTACGCAGTACCGTGCTTACTAAACGGGACATCATCAAGTGACGAATCTTCGATACTTGGAAATGTCTTAATTTGGGGATCAGTTGAAAATGAGCAAGTTAAATTACTCGTAGACACTGGCGCCGCTATTTCCGTAATTAGTGAAAGTTTTTTTAATTCTGCTCTGCGCATGCATTACTCGCTGCAGACGCCGCGTAATGGACTCGAAAGTATTCAAACTGCAAATGGTGCCACTGTTGCTGTGAAAGGTTTTGTGACGTTTCCTCCCACCATTGGTAATGAGCATTATGAATGTCAGGCCTCAGTTGTCTCTGGCCTAGCTTACAATGTTGTGTTAGGTCGTGACTTTCTGCATAAAACCCATGCTGTTATTGATGTTCCTGGCCATATTGTAACATTTACGAATGATAACACTGTCTCATTTATAACTGGCAATACACCTCCATTGCTTTGCTCTGTCGCTGTTTTTTCTTCATTCGTCATTGAACCTCGTTCTGAAGCTATTATTCCTGTGCAGCTTTTGCAGTCGCACAGTATTTCTGTCGCAGGCCTCGTCGAAGGTAATGAGAAATTAACCTCTCGTTATCGCCTCCTCCTAGCAGCTTCTATTTCATGCCCAACTAGTGAAGGAAATGTCTCGTTTCGTTTGTTAAATCCTTCTGATGAACCAGTGCTTCTTCATAAAGGAACAGTCATCGGCACGTTTTCTGAACTTTTGCACACTGACATCTTTCCTTTAAAAAGTAGTGTCTCAGCTATGGATTCTGCTCCACAACATCACAGCCTCCTTTCCGAACTTGAGTCTATTAAGAATGTCGATCTTTCAGAGGCCCAGAATGCAGCTCTCTCACAATTACTTTTATCGTATAAAGATATTTTCGCCTCATCTAGCCTTGATCTCGGCCATACTTTCATCATCGAACGCGAAATTTACACAGGGGATGCTCGGCCTATTAAGTCTTCACCTTATTGAGTCTCTCAATTGCAACGTGAAGAAATTGAAACACAGATTTCAAATATGCTATCTCAAAATGTGATTCAACCTTCTTCGAGCCCTTGGAGCTCTCCTGTAGTTTTAGTAAAGAAGAAAGACGGTACGACGAGATTTTGTGTCGACTATCGAAAATTAAATGCTGTCACTCGCAAAGGCAGTTATTCTCTTCCTCGCATTGATGATGCCCTTGACGCTATTTCTGGATCTCAGTTCTTTACAACGCTCGATCTGCAGTCGGGCTATCACCAAGTTGCCATGCATCCGTCTTCACGAGAAAAAACTGCTTCGTTTCACATGCAGGATTGTTCGAATATAATGTAATGAGTTTTGGTTTAACAAACGCTCCACCGACTTTCCAACGATTGATGTCGAGAGTTCTTGCTGGCCTAGAATGGAAGGTTTGTCTCATCTATATAGACGATATTATCGTTTTTTCTTCTACTTTTGAAGAACATTTGCAAAGGCTGTCTCTCGTTTTCGATCGCATACGTCAGGCTAACTTGAAATTGAAACCAAGTAAGTGCCACTTTGCTCGCCATTCTGTGAAATTTCTTGGGTTTATTGTCTCTGCAAATGGTATTTCTGCTGACCCAGACAAGCTTGAAGTTGTAAACTCGTTTCCAGTGCCGTCCAATGTGAAGGATGTACGCAGTTTTCTTGGTCTCTGTAACTATTACAGACGTTTTGTCCATGATTTTGCACGCATAGCTTCACCTATAAATCAGCTAACAAGAAAGGACGTCAAGTTTGTGTGGAGTGCTGAATGTCAACACGCTTTCAACATACTAAAGCAGAGTTTGTGCTCCAATCCTGTTTTAGCTTATCCCGTTTTTAGTGAGCCTTTTCACCTGTATACTGATGCCAGCAACTCGGCTCTTGGGTATATTCTCGGCCAACGAGTTGCGGGTGTGGAGTATGTCGTGGCCTATGGTGGGCGTGAGCTGAATAATGCTGAAAAACGCTATAGCACCACGGAACGTGAAGCTCTTGCTGTAGTGGATGGAATTAAACGGTATCAACCTTATCTTCATGGCCGTAAATTTTTTGTCCATACAGACCACAGTAGCCTTTCATGGCTCATGAATGTGAAGGATCCTACAGGTAGGCTTGCTCGCTGGGCGTTGCAGCTGCAGCAGTACGATTTTGACATTGTTTATCGCCCTGGACCTTCCAACAACAACGCAGATGCGCTTTCACGACGATCTTATTCCTCAACCACTGTTTCTGGTCTTTCTCCGCCTATGGCTTCTATTAGGCACCCATGTCC